AAAAATAACTTTACAGAAGTTTAACTCCAAAGGCTTTGCAGAAGGCCTCTATCCTGACATCACAGCGCTAAAATAGAGTTCTACTGAAGATGATCCTCAGATTGTAAAATCACAAACAGCTGTCAAATCTTAGAAACAGCTTATTATTAATGCATGTTTGCGTATACTGGACTCCAGCTTGTATTTGAAGCATCGATGCTCCTTGGTAGGACAGATTCAGAAAGGCTTAGTGCTTTGCCTTGGAGCGTCAGACACTGCAGATATGAGTCAATGGAAAGCAATATGGATGTACCTTTGACAAATCCCTGATGCTGCAGGGATGTGGGTTTCTTTTAAATGTACTGAACCAAAAATCAGCCTGAATGACATTTTTTAAACAAGCCCAATTGATTTGTGTAAGGTTCTGTTGGCATGTTTTACAATCTTTGCTTTCTTTAAATTCTGGAGTCCAGCTGAAGAATCCACGCGTAAATTTAGGGGTTGGTTGGACAGGAATTTGATTCAGTCAGAGGTTAACCTTCCTGGTTTTGTGTTCAGATATTGTCTGTTATGTTGCAGTGGTTTGGTAACATACCAGGTTGACTCATCTGGAGTCCGTTCTTCTTTTTCTCTCTTTCTCTCCAAAACTCTCCTTTGGAAATATATCCAATAAAAGAAAACTTTGCATTTAAATTTGATAAAGTTTCAATCAGCCAATAACAAATGAATGTTTGTTCTCAATTTCCCTCAGAATGTCTCCTAAAGACGTTGTGTCTAAATTTCAGGCTTTTATTTTATGCTATGTTATGTTTTTGCTTGTTAAATCCTTAAAATATATCAGAATAATATTTAGTTTGATGGTCACTGATTCTTTTGATTCAACTCTATTCAATTTAATTTGGGACCAATAAAGTATTTTTAAATTAGAATAAAACTAAATAATTAAGAAAAAAATTAGCTTTAATATAAATACAAGATGTTGCATAGATATAATAGTTTTGGCTATGAATTCATTTAGTTTTTATAGCTTATTTCAGGGTGAGAGCTTGTGTGGCGTTAAGCTCAGGCTCTTGTCCTCCTGCTGTGTTGCTCTGTTGTCCCTCTGTTCATGCCGAGTACAATTGTGCTTCAAAGTGGATGTCTCTGTTTTTTTGTTTTTTTGCCTGTTCCATTTTTTTATGTGTCTGTGAGTGTTTGTGTGTCTGCTATTCATCCTAACCCACTTCTTAAAAACCATGTCAATCCTTTAGCCCTAAAAAAGCAAATCCGTTCCCCGGCCTCCACTTTCTGGGAGTACGCTCTTTCTAAAACTCTTCTTCAGTGTCCGCTGGTAATCATTAGTCAGTTTAAAGCTGCTTGAAAAAGTCTCTTCGGTGAGAGGGGCATACCTTATGACCACAATGTCATTATATTCTGGAAAGTAATTATTTTACCAGAGCTGAATGTGTTGATTCGGTATCACTGCAGACTGCAGAAAAACAATATTTAGAGACAGACTTCTTACATCTTTTAATTTAGTGCAGAAACCTTCATTGTCAACGTATTGGTATGTTGGCAATAAAGCAATCTTTCAGTCTGTGGCCAACCTGGTCCACATTCTTTTATTTTATTGCTATAACACCATTCAGAAAGATACGTCTTTGTATGTTTTATTAAAGTTGATTGTTTTAATCTGCAAATTATTACTTCCTGTTTATCAAAAAAGATAGAGGACTCCCTCAAATTGGGAAACAGGAGAAAATGGCGCTCAAGCGAGGCACATGTGTGTTGATATTTGCGGGTCATAAAAAAATGACCTTTCTAAGCTTTGGCAGACACTTGTTTATGCCAGAGGACAAATCTATAGAGGAGATTGATAGTTCAGAGATATTAAGTTCAGGAAGCCATAATGAAAACATGACTGTGAAATTAGGTTTTCTTCAGGACTGCTTATGAGTCTGATGTGAGCCCAAAAATGAACATTTGGATGCTTATTACTAAGTAATAAGCATCCAAATGTTTAATGAAGAAGGCTGTGTGGCTTCTTCATTTCTGAAGAGCCTGGGAACCAATAATGATATAATTCTTTTTCTTTTTTAAAGGTTTTATAGGTTTTAGTGGCCTTTATTTGAGTGATCGAATAGGAAAGTGGGAAATGAGAGAGGGAGGGGGGAGACATTTGACCTGCAGCAACCTGTGACAGCCATGTCGAGGGCTGGCTGCTTCACCACAACACATTATTTGAAATGCTACAGCATTTCAAATAAAAATCAGGAGGCTTCTCCCAGAATACGAAATATGTTGCATTCTTGGGTCTTTCAGTTGAATAATAATAATAATATGTATGCTCAATTCAACCCAGAAATGATTACCCAGACACTAAATAAAACTTAAAATGCTGCATAAGACAGGACCCCGGTTTCTGAATGAAGAGGAGAGGTTGTTCACAGAGTGGTCATGTCCATCTCTGCATGCCCCAACTGTATAATGGTGTAAGAGGCGATTAAGTGCAGTTCTGTTGGCAAAAGCAGGGTTGCACAAAGAATGAACAGCAGGGGTGGCTGGGTGTTAGTTGGTAACACTAAGAAGCCAAGCTGACTCTGCTGAAAGTAATAAGCTTGACAGCAGCCTTCCCCCCCAAAGTCTGTAAAGTTTACATGAACTCATAATGCACAACATAACGGCGCTCTCTGTCCACCTAAGTGTGATCAAAATGATTCAGAACCACCATCTGACAGAAGCAGTGAATCTGCGTGGGTGTTTTACTCAGTCCTTCCACAACTGTGTGTTTGATTATGTTGGCTGTTGGTCATCTTTAGCCACATTACCTTTACTGCTGTCAGAAACATTTCCCAGAAACGGAGTTCAAGTTGTATAGCCGGTGACTCAAGCTCAGTCATATCCTGCTGGCAAGAACAAAGCACAATATAGCTGTACAGCTGGAGGAACTGTTGTGAAATCCTTTGGATTTTTTTTTTCTCCTGCTGCTGTAGTATGTGATTTTAAAAAACAAAACAATTCAGCTATGTTTCCTTAAGTGGCATTAACTCTGCCACCTGAAATGACCTTCTCTGTCCTGAATGTGTAAAATCTATTAATTTAAAGGATCATTTGTATAAAGTAATAGACCATGGTGTCTGCTGGGTCTATAAAAGTCATAAAAAGTCTTAAATGTAATAATTAACATTTATTTAAAGATTAACTTTTCAGAAGAGGCGCATTGCAGTGGTGTGGAAATATGTCATCTTAGCAATTTCTCAGATTTGTGCTTTTTATTGTCATATATCTATTGTTACTACCATACCGATAATCTGAGTAAATATGAAATGCAGTTTTTCATGATTTAATTTATTAAGTAAATGCAAAAAATAATTGCCCCTAAAAGATCTTAAAGGGAATAATTTTTTTATCCTGGCTTAGTTTAGCACCAGATGTAACATTTAGGAGGTTCCTCACTGCTTCATATTTTATCTATTAGTAGACAATGGCACTCATTGTGATCAGTGACTTTTTCTCATAAATTCCTTTAGATTGTGGCTTGATTTGTTGCTTTTTGAAAAGGCTTTATAATATCCTTTTGTAATTATTATTATATATATATTTCTTTTACTTTAGTTTAAATATGAACAAATTTAATCGCTATGGGACAATAAAGGATATTTGCATTCTATTCTTCTCTCTCTTCCTGATATGTTTCTCTTTATACCGTGTTTCCTTCCAATGTAGAGTGGTTACTCTACATTAACTTTAAAATCTACTTTTTATGTTTACTCTGGCTATGTTTGTCTAATATTAAAATGTTCTTAATATGAAACATAAAACAGAGCTTTACATTTCAGAAGGTAAGGTTTTAGGCATTTTTTAAAAATGTATTTAAATCCTAAAGATCTTTGAAATATCTTGCAAAGTCACAAATTGAACTCATTGAAATTTGCAGAAACACTACCAGACACCACATGCATTGTTTGATAGATGGATATAAGTGAAGCGCTTTTTGACATCATTTAGGCTTATTCAAGTCACGAGGGTGCCATGTGTTGGAGTTGATGGTATCATATAATCGTATATGTCTTCTTTTTCGAATCCACACCTACTAGAGACAGCTTTCATTCTCAAGACCTTGAATGCGACTCTGCAGAGTAGCGTGGGCTTGCACGGCTCTCCAGAGGACGGTTCATATCTCTTATATGTCGTTAACTTTGTGCTTTACACTGTTAAACAGAAGCTGTTCTCGTCCATTTGTTTCTGCCTTGTGCTGTGCTTTGTTGCCCTGAGCCATTAAGACAACATGAAGCGCTCTGCGATTCCTGGCTTTTCTCTCTGGCTGTTGCTAATAGTTACTGCTGCAACTACAGTTAGGCAGGGTCAGGGATAAAGCTGCTGCAAAACACACATTATTATATTTCATAGAGGCCATTTTAGTTTAATTTGCTTAAAATATTGACTTTATATGTAATTTCTTGAATTCTGTCAGAAATGATGTCAATGGTCACCAGGGTTGTGGACACCTGGGCTAGATCCATTTTAGGTTTCCTATCCCTAAAATATTATTTTTTTTATTCATACAAATTATAGTGCATTAATAGGTATTCAACAAGTATGAACTGATATATGGTAGGTTTAATAGGTTCCCAAAGTTTTCTGCCTTTGACCCCCAAAGTAATAGTGCCAAAGCCTGGCAAGCCCCCAAAAATACATATTATTATTTCCCTCTATTTAGTTAAAAATTTATATATAGAGTGAAATAATTATACATATTTTTAAATTAATTTTTAAATAAAAACGATGAGAACGCATATTACTGTACATTATTTAGTGACACATTTAATGGTACACATATTTATTTAATTTTGCCCTTTTTGCCCCTCATACACCTGGATTGTCACATCACCATGATTCTGAAAATTATTTCACGACTCCCACTTTGTGAACCCCTTGTCAACAGCTCCATGTCCTTCCCAAAGAAACTGACTAAAATAGCGTAATTTTCAAATACTTGTTGATATTCATGAATATGAAACTGTACCTCCACTGTTTCGCAGCTATCCAGAGAACGGTGTCGTAGAGATGCGCTCCGTAGACGTAAGGCCCCGTGCCAGGACCCTGCTGCGGTGGGACCAGCTGCAGGTGGGGCTGCAGGTGATGGTCAACTACAACATGGAAACCCCAGATGAAAGAGGCTTCTGGTACGACGCAGAGATAGTGGCCATTAATCAAACCTCTCGCACCAATAAGGAGCTCCGAGTTAATATTCTCCTGGGGTGAGCGTCTCGCATCCTGAGATCGATTGCTTTGATTTTAGCTGGATTGCATTTTGCTCTGTTATGTTTCCATTTATCTACCTTGGCTGTTGTGTCTTCCCCTACAGCGGCCCTGAAGATGTGATCGGAGATTGTAAAGTTCAGTTTTTAGATGAAATCTACCAGGTGGAGAAGCCGGGAGCTCGTCCCCTCTCAAGCGCAGACGGACAGTTTAAACGTATGAACTAGTCTTTCAATAGCATTCACGCTCTTCGAACTTTTCCGCTGTTCTGTCAGGTATAACCACAAACTTGAAGGTATTTTGTTGGGATTGTGTAATTGTGAAGTGAATGTACCAGGCTAAATATTTGTCAAGGTTTCCTATAAGAAAACAAATTAAAAGTGGTGCATCCAATACTTTACTTATATTGATGCCAATTCTTTTTTTTTTTTTTTTTGCAAAATAGCTCAGGATGTGTCAGTGATTTTGAGTTATTATTGTGAGCGTCTGAGTAAAGGGACGTGGATGCATTTGATATTTTCAGAACTACATTTGTAAAAAAGAAAACCATGTATTTTACTTCCACTTCACAATTGTGTGTTGTGTCAAATACATTGAGGCTTGTGGTTGTAATGTGACACAATATGTAACAGTTCGACTCTGGTGTGATACGTCAACAAACTCCGTGTTGATCACTAGCGCTAAATGTGTGAAAACGGGTGATTTCATCTTGTTTGTGACTCAAGGGAAGAGCGGACCCGAGTGCAAGCATTGCAAGGCCGACCCCGACGCAGAGTGCCGCTTCTGCTCCTGCTGCGTGTGCGGCGGGAAGCAGGACGCTCACATGCAGCTGCTGTGTGATGAGTGCAACATGGCGTTCCACATCTACTGCCTGAACCCTCCGCTGGCCACCATCCCAGATGACGAGGACTGGTGAGAAAGCGACGGAGAGCAGCTCAACATTTAGCTACAAGTTTGCGCCACTTCAGTCATTTCACTGATTAAATGAAGTTTATGGGCTGAAGTGTATTTACACAGAAATTCAAAGGTGGTTGATAATAATTGGGTAATGCACCTGCAGGTTGCAGTTGACTTCATACATTGAAGTTCTGCAAAATATAATTGAGAGTACAACAGAATGTCTGTTTTACCATTTGTCGTACAGTAAGTAAAAAAGCATAAATAGAAATAATTATGGAAATACCACTTTAGCTCCAGATTCTTTCTGTTTTTCTGGCTTTGGTGCAAGACTTTAATGGAGAAAAATAAAAAGAGAGAATCAAAATAGAAATCGAAACAATTAAACATGCTTAAAATATTTTTTTGTTCAATAGAGTTTGACCAAAATGGGATTTGGAGTTAATAGATGAAAGATGAAGGAATTTTAGCTGCTCTGTTGTTTGTTACTGAAGATGAGTTTGGGAAAATTCCAAAGATTCCACTTTTATCTCCCCAGTATCTTGCTTGTGTCTGTTCATTTTTAAGTGTTATACTTAATTAATTTTCTTTTACATGAGGCAGTGACCTCGTCCATGCATATACACAACAATTGATGTATCTGCATATTTATTTGTGCCTTCATATATTTTCCTTATTTTTTTTCTCTTTTAATTTTGAATTTGCTTGCATGAACTGTCCTATAAATAAATCCACCTTTTTTACATCTCACATAGATAAATTTCAGAATTTCTCTGTCTGTCCCATAACACCAGCTGCAGCTCTCACCACAAACATTATCCCTCATGCTAAAGATCAATACAAAATTATTAGATTGATAGTTTTCATTAAGGCTTTGCACCTGCCCTTTGAACAGTAAGTTTTAAATGGAGATATATTTCCATCCTCTGTTACCATCTTCACCTCACGTGGTGAGTTAAACTTAAGTCCTCACACAATCTTGTTCGTCACACATCCTGTTGTTTTGAATTAATAATAATCAATCTGAATGTAGATCTAAGCAATTTAGGGGAAGTAGCTATTTATCATCTAACACAGATATCATCAACACACACAACTTTAATTGATTGTTCTCTTATCTTTCCTCTTCTGAAGAGTGTGTAAGAGTAATCAAACGCTGATTTTTATTCCCCAGCAAAACAGGAAGCGGTGGACTAATTTGGATTTCTTAGACACTCTGAGGAAAATACATATCATAGAGTGAATTATAGGAATGCTTTAGTGACATTTATTGTAAAAGAATTGTTAAAGTTTACAATAATTGTCACAAAGACGATTTTCTTAAATATTTGTTCCTTAATGTGAGATTTTTTCCCTGCTGAATACTTCTTTTTTTTCCCTCAAGATTTCCGTGACTTAACGCTATTGCCATTAAACATTTTTAAGAGTTTACATACATCCTCATTTGAGAAAGGGAATTAGAAACAGTATATATAATTCATTGCTAAGGGGGTTAAGAAGCTACTCTGTTGACCTTTCGAAGTCTTTACATGCCTGTGAAGCATCGAAGACGGAGCAGGATGTGATTTTCTTTTATTCTGCCAGGTATTGCCCGACCTGTAAAAATGACACCAGCGAAGTTGTCAAGGCAGGAGAGAAACTGAAAGCCAGTAAGAAGAAAGCCAAAATGCCTTCGGCTACCACTGAGAGTCAAAGGGACTGGGGAAAGGTAAGACCAAGAGGGGAGCAAGATACTGGAGGACTGATAGCTGCTCTGTAAGCCTCAGGAAAGGTCTGAACATTCACCTCACTATCAACTATAATGTGGAGGTATTTTTTCTTAGAAAAAGCAGACTCAAACCACCAGACACATTTTGTAGGATTCTAGAAAACTTGGACAAGTATGGAATTTGCTTTTAATTATTGGGGGGGGGGGAACCGAATACGGATGTTTCCAGAAGCTATAGGTGTGAACGCAGATCTGGTCCAGATGCCAAACTCTGCTCTCCTAAATCAGAAACAAATATCTGAATTGTAGTGTTTTATGATTTGTTCAACATCCAAAATATGAAACCCCACTAAATGATCATTCTGTACTCGCATAAATTCTACAAAAACAGAGCTGGAAATTTATTTTCATATTCAAAAAGGATAAATCACTATCACCTGCAAAAGGGTCATATATTTTTAAAACTGAATGTTCAGAATGCTAGTGGAATATTAGATAAACATGTTGCCTTTATATGTTAGCATTATAGAGTTTACAGATTATTTTAATATGTAGGAAATAAAATAATTTTTAAAAAAAAACAGCAAATTGACTTATTAACATCCTCTCTTATCAGACTTAATGTGCCAAGTTGTAAATGTACATTTATCAAATAATAGATTATCCTTAATTGAGGAAGTAGAGAAATAAATGTTGAGTTGTCATTTTATCTAATTTTTCAAACAGGTCATGGGTTACATAAAACCCTCCAGACTCTTCTCATGTATTCAGATTTTGGCTCTGTTCTGACATCAAAACGTCGTCTCCGTGACGCTCCTCTCCATGGTGTAATGTGAACAATGCCATTAGGCACAACTTAGCCATTTTCCTGGAACAGCCAATGGAAAATAACTCCCTTCTTTACCAGAATGTGTGTGTTTTTTTTTTAATGTTCGCTAATTGAAACCAGCTCGCCTTATGCACTCGGGTACATTTAAGTGCGCTGAGTCACACAGTGTTCATACTTGACTTTAAAACTTTAGCGTCTCCATAACTCTTAAAATAAACCACTTTTATTTTATTGTTGTCGTACTTTAAAACTCATTTGTAGCAGCTAAATCTGGAGGCAAACCTTCTAAAACTCAGACTTTTTCTTAAACCTTTAAATAAATAGCTTTCCCTTAATGTGATGTTGCCACTGAGGCGCACTTAATCATCCTGTTGTAAGGAAACTTTTGAGGTGCAATGTAAAAAAAACAACAACAAAAAACGCTGTTTTACTGTTTGATTATGTTGAAAAGCACTTTTTATTGGTATAATTGCAGGGTATGGCCTGCGTGGGGCGCACTAAAGAATGCACAATTGTTCCCTCAAACCACTACGGACCTATTCCCGGCATTCCTGTGGGAACCACCTGGAAATTCAGAGTGCAGGTTGGCCTTTGTTAAAAGCTGCAAATCAGAAAAACAAAGCCGCTGTAATTCTTTTTTCACCCTTCGTGTCCGCTTCGTTCCTCAGGTGAGCGAGGCAGGCGTTCACAGGCCGCACGTCGGCGGCATCCACGGCCGCAGCAACGACGGCTCCTATTCGCTGGTGTTAGCCGGGGGCTTTGAGGACGAAGTGGTGGGTTTCACTGTCGCTGCTGTTCTGTTCGGCCGCATGGGAACCACGGTGAAATCTCATTGGCTCCATCTTCAATGGTGTGTGTGTGATCATCTGTGGTAGGACCGGGGAGACGAGTTCACCTACACTGGCAGTGGGGGTCGTGACCTCTCAGGAAACAAACGAATCGGAGAGCACAGTTTTGACCAGACACTGACTCACATGAACAGGTACAGCACCAAAATATGACTGCCAATATGTTTATACTCTTAATAACTTTCTATGGAGATTTGATTAAATATTCTGCTTCCTTTCATTTACTTGACTGATTTTCAGGGCGTTGGCCTTAAACTGTGATGCGCCACTGAATGACAAAGATGGAGCCGAGTCCAGAAACTGGCGGGCTGGGAAACCGGTGAGAGTGGTACGCAGCTCTAAAGGTAGACGCATCAGCAAATACGCTCCAGAAGAAGGAAACCGCTATGACGGTATTTACAAGGTATGTTGTGGAATCGTGCCTTAAAAATGATGTGACGTTGCTGCCAAGGCTCAAGTGTGTGTAGTTTAATCACAAACGCTGTCAAATACCCCTATGGGCTTAAAGTATGGTATTGCTGTGGTTTCCAGGTGGTAAAGTACTGGCCAGAGATCGGAAAGTGTGGCTATTTGGTGTGGCGGTATCTGCTGAGACGAGATGATCTGGAACCAGCTCCTTGGACCCCTGAAGGACTGGAGAGAATAAAGAAACTGGGCCTTTCGGTTCAGGTGAGACTGCTGCTTATGCAGTACATCAGGTTAAATGTACTGGCAACTCCTGATTTGTGATTTTAAAAAGTTAATAGACTTTAAAGTAAATATTTTTTTCGCTGGGCTTAAATTTATAAATCATCAAACAAATATTAAAACCAAGCTGTTTTGGATAGGGTTTTTTTTTTCCCCTCAATAAATGAAATCATCATTCATCTTCTTATGTAGAGCAAAAATTTGCTTGATAAGCAGAGATATTTAAATGTGACCAAAAACGGATGAATGTCTGTAAGCAGGACAGAACAAATGGAAAACAAACATTCTCCTGAATGTCTTTTCCTCCAGTACCCACCAGGCTATTTGGCAGCCATGGCTAACAAAACAAAGAAGGAGGCTTGCGCTAGACCTGGCCGTGGCGGTCGCGGTAAGCACTATCCTGGAAGGGGGCGACCACGGAGGCGCAAGATTAAAACAAAAGAGGAGGAGGAGGAGGAAGGGCCGGAGGAGGAGGAAGAGGAGGAGGGGGAAGAGCAGGGGGACGAGCCTCCAGAAGCCCAGATGCAAGAGGACGCACCACAAAGTAACGGAGAGCAGAAGACAACCGGAGAAACTGGTGGGTGCTTTTACAGACGTTGCTCAAAGCAGGTCAGAAAAGGTGGACAGGTGAGCGAGAGCAGCGTGATCACTGGAAACCTGTCCGAGATGCCTCATTAATATCTTCCCTAACCTCCATATTTACAATTACGCTCTGCTTTCATTGTCTTATTTCAGTATTACATGTTTCGCCCTGCAAAGTTAGCTTCTGCTTCTTCAATGTTACGCCGTTTTTACCAGAATCGTCACCAGAAACCGAGCCGCCGCCTAAACGTGTAAAGATAGAGGAGACCTTCCAGCTGACTGAGCAGCAGCAGCAGCTGATCCAGGATGACACCGCCAACAAGAAGCTCTGGGATGAAGCCATGGAGCACATTAAAGAGGGACCGGTATAACGACCAAAACATTTTAAACTCATTTGTTTCAGGAGCCAGAGCTGGCGTCAGCGCAGCGCGCATGTTTGAGCTAGAGCAGTCAGTGTTACACAGCTCAGCATTATCATAATATTTAAAAACAGACATGGTTAAACGATGATTGAGGTTGACATATTAGCTTTCTTTAGTGTCTTAGTAGTTAGAATGATTGAATACGAGTATAAAAACTTCTTAACTTAGCACAAAAAGTAAGAAAATTTGTGCTCAACGGGTTTTTTTTTTCTTTTTCCTCTAAATGGTTATAAGAAAAATAACCAGTGGCTGGAACAGAAGCCAGAAAAATGTGCCATTTCCCCTCTGTCAATGCCAAAAGCTTTTTGGTGGAGGCAGTATGGTGATGTGGGGCAGCGTGCTCAACCGCACAGAGAGGAGCCGTCCCACAGCAATGTTTGACCAAGCTAGGAGGAGGATGCACCCGGCGGTTGTGGTTGTGTACATTTCTTTCACAACTGTGGCCTCAGTTTGTAAACCAGTAACTTGCTAAATTGCCAATGCTTAAGTGTTATTTAATGATGATTTACTCTTCAGACTTAAATCATCCAGCCAAACGAATGACATCAAGAAGCAGAATAGGCAAAGAGGGTTTAGCAAATGCCTCATGAGTGCAGCCCACATACCCAACTCTCCTCTTCCGCACACAAATGCATTGTCTTTGCAAATGTGGCACCATTTAAGGGAAAATAAACAGGCCCGCTATAAAAGTTTTATTGCCAAAAACCATTGTTGCAACAAAAAAAATAAAAAAAATAAATCTTACTTGACGTGCTTCGTAGATAAATAGGAAGCTCTTCATCAGCCAGAGAAAGTAAGGGAGTAGGAAAGTCTTTGTTATATTTTTGGGTCGGAACCTCAAAGGTTTAGGAAAACCTCCAGTTCGTCTCTCAAGCTATTTGAAAGTGTTTCCTTTATTTTATTCGGCAATTCTTTCTTCCTAAGATTTGTATCTGATGCTCTAACAATATCTGAAATGTAAACCTGGACACATTTTATTTCCACAAAAGAATTTTCTGCGAAAGCTGGAGCAGATCTTCATGTGCGTGTGCTGCCAGGAGCTGGCCTTCCAGCCCATCACCACCGTCTGCTCACACAACGTCTGCAAGGTACACGTCCCGGGCACCTTTGATAGACGTTATTCGTACGTAACTTCTGCAAAAGTCCAGTTCCCCATTCTCACCCTGGCGTCTTTTGTCCTCAGACTTGTCTGCAGCGGTCGTTTCGGGCAGCAGTGTACACCTGCCCCGCCTGCCGCCACGACCTGGGCAAAGACTATGTCATGAACCAAAACAAGAAGCTGCAGATTCTGCTCGACCAGTTCTTTCCCGGCTACAGCAAGGGCCGATGAGATCCGATTTACACGTATGGATAGAATACATGCACATAAGCATCATTTCTGCGCACCCTCGTATACTGTCATGTACTTAGAAGCTCCACTTTGAAACGCGTCGCACTCACATAATGTACTAACCCACGGGCAATTGTGTTTTGCATTTACAGCCATCTTATGTATACAATCATTTACACACAAACCACCTCAGTTAGAGACCGACCTCATCTGCTGAACTTGGATCGTCTCCATTTGCAAAACCAGCCTGAAAGATTCAGACAGAGGACATTGCCTCGCCTCGCTACTCCAGCCACAAGACGTGGGCACAAAAACAAACGCACAAAAAGCCCCTGCACCCACAGGCCCACCTACCATCTCAAGGTCTTTTCTCCGTTGCCGTGTGTTTCTTTTTTTTTTTTTTCTTCTTCAATGTTGCCCGCTGGCTCTGTTAATAAGCAGTACATTGTCTGGGTGCAAATTCATGCTTGAAAGCAAACGTTTAAATTTCTGCCAACCTGCTTGCATTTTACGTACCATGTATGCAGTTTTACACAAACGCGCAGAGGCCATTGAAAGGACTCTCCCTTGCCAGGTGGCGGTTTGTGGTGCTAGAGACGGTGCAAGTCTGAGCGAGAGGTTCTCAAAGCAAGGAGTTTTACACACTATTTTATAAAAACGAAGCACTATATTAGTGGCTCGTGCTGTAGGCTTGTTTCTAGGCTAGTCTGGTGCATTTTCCTGCATCATGTTTGGTGCTTGTGTCACTTGGAATCGTCTAATTTCTTTCTATTGAGCTAACAGGAATAAATGAAGCTTCACCAAGGTCATGGGAGAAGAGAACGTAACTAAAGAGCTGTTTCTACTAAAAGTAAAGGGGATTCGTGGTAAAGATTCCACTCTAAACAAAAAGGAGCAGGCATTTCTTGGCCATCAGAAGAATACCTTTTGGTGTTTCTTTTCATTTAGCACACCAACTCTCGGATGCTTGGTTTTTTGTGTGTGTTTTTTTTGTTCACAGTGGCATCTTCAGAGGCCAGCCTGTTTGTCCTTGACGTTACCTGGTAACCACTTTCAAGTCAGACCGTTTTCATTGCTATTTTGATCAGAATGTTCACAGCAAATGTTTCTCTGCCGTTCTTCGACGTGTTGCAAGAAATGTCTACTGGAGAGCTTTTGGCTTCTGAAAAGAGGCTTCATAAGCAGCCGCGCAGCCATATGTGGATACGTTTGTCACATTCCAGCAAGAAAATCCTGCGTCTTTTAAAATCATTTGGTCAGTTGTCTATTATTTTGTAGCACCGCTCACTCTGCCTAACAGCTGGCTGAAAGAAAGCTTAAAAACATCCTATCTTACAAGAAAGAAACAATTAGTTTTTAAAAAATATTTACATCTGTTATGCAGCTGACTGCAGGCTAGCTACCCCAGCAAGTAGCCTGACCAATTACGCTACATGCTTTGTGCAGCTGCAGAAATGTCTGGTCACCCTGGCTTGTTTTTTTTTCACATGTAATTATATCAACTTTAAACTCTAGGATATATATCCAGCATATATGGTTTTAGACAGAGTGTGAACAGCAGACAGGGTGTGTCGGACCAAAGAGAAGAGCGGCTCCATCACAGCACAGAAGTGGTCATTGACCTTTTAGATAATCTAAAATGAGCCAATCAGAAATGCAGTTCTGTGGCCTTAAATATTACATAATATACTGATTTTAGTGACTACAGCCCAACAGAATTCATCGCAAAACTGGATGAGTTCTGTCTCGAAAAATACCTGAAACAGGAAGCTCTCCGCTGCTGATTATTTCATTATGTCATACATTTTTGCTGGCAATGCAATAGAAAAAAGGATTAGTATATATATAACTCAAGAATTACAAATACAAAACTATTTTAAAATACTTAACTGGTCGATAAACTCAATAGGAGGCACATCATTTTTTGTACTGCTTCAGACTAATAATGTTTTATAACTAGAAAACAATTTTTTTAAATTTGTTTTATGTGCACAGTTTCTAGAAAAATGTGTTGCCCAAAATAATAATTTTGCATCATGTCCATGAAATAAGATTTTCACATTTTTAAAAATTAGGTGTAGCCAAAGCTCACTGTCCGAAATTAAGCTTAACTAACATGCTTTTAAAAACTAATAATTACATCTTAACTCATTTTAATAGGATACACCTACAGTACATTGCAAAGATCTTAAAGAAAATGATTTTTCTTTTGTTCATTTTTTTATCCTTTTGAGTCACATTGACTTAGACATTTTTCAAAGTTTTATAACCCAAAGCGTGTAACTCTTACGTGTTTAAAGTCTGTCGTCGTCATCTTCGCCCACTGCATCGAGTCATCAAATATTACTAGCTGTCTTTTTTTTTATATACATTAGAAAGTTTGAACGCAATCGGTTATTCTGTTGTAACTGAGATAAGTGCCTGCTTGTATGGTACTTTAAAATGTCCCAGGTTGGCAGGTTTTAATGGGAACCAAATCAAACGTGATGGAGAGCAAAGGCAGAGTTTCTGCACCGATCCGTAACGTGGACAGAGGTCACCTGCAGCGCCGCAGTTCAGATAATATACCAGATCCGGGTTTTTTTTTTTTTTTATGTTTGGGGAAAATGTAGCCCATGTTTAATAGCCAGCGCATAAGTCTTTGTGAGGCTGAATTTACGACATTTTTGTTCATTAAGCCTTTCACGCACACACTTCTGTTCATATGCAAGTCAGCGAGCGGTTGTCCATCAGCAGGCTGTTTATGGTGATGTCCTCGTTTCTTTTCAGTCATTCAGGATTTTCTTTAAACATTTTTTTATGAGTAACATGCAAGTACAAATGCTACTGCAGTCTTTAAAGCTAAATGTGATGTGCATTATCTTGAGATTATTTTTTCCCTGCATTGACTGGCTAGTTAATAGCCCTCCTTTCTCTCTGCTGTGACCTTTGCCCCTTTTCTGCTCTCCGTGAACTTATAGTACTAACTTCTAGACGTCTTGTGGACGCTTGGCTTCAGTGCTGTGTTTTTTTTTTTTTTTTATTGCACTCTACTAAAAAAAGTTTGAGCAATCACATTTAGGTTTTCTAGAATGCTTACTGTTATCTCTGTCCATACTCTGATTTTCTACTTTTTTTTTTTTTTTGCAGTTGCTTATTTTCCGTTTTAATCAGTTTTGTTGGCAGCCTCAAGTATCTGCAGCACATGCCAATCTGAAAAGTTCCATTGCTTCATATTGTGATCTGAAATTTTATACATGTCATAATACTTGATATGTACCAATTAAATATTTGGATTCCAGAAAATGTCTTTGTTTTTCTTTTTACAGATTTTTTAAAATGTAAGTATACTCGCGCTCTGGAGGATCACTAAATAGTAAAAATATGAGTTCAATTGAAACCTAAACAAAACATAGATTTATAGGAATCACCAGGTGGACCAACTGGAGGAAGAATTTGTCAAAAAATAAATAAATCTTGGTATAATTGCAAAATTTAAGCAAGAAGCCATTACTTATGGAGTCCCAGAGGGGCCAATGTTTGGGAGCCTAAATCATTTATATTGCATGTGAATGAAATATGGAGATGATACAGATTTGTGCTTTGAGGATTAAAAAAAAATTAGATGAGTTCAAGTAATTAAGTTATATGTTGCACTAAAATTTACAGTAAAAGTGATTCAGAATTTTTGGTGAAAATTTGCAATAATCCACCTGTACAGAGAATAGAAGTTTTATAATGGGTCAGACCAGTCAAAGAACCACAAAGTAATGATGTAAATATGCTCATCTGAAAATCTGTGCTGTTTTTCTTAATCTTCTGCAGCCCCCTGGTGGTGAAACAAAGCATATCAAGCTTACTATTTGAATACCAATTATAGCACAACCTTGTTTGATTTACATTATTAAATTGGTTAAAGTAGCTGTATAGCAAACAACGACAAAATGCACAAGAGAAATGCTTTCATTGTTTTATTATCACAGAAGCACAACAGGTACCACTATGCAGGAGATACTCAATGTCATGAAAAGAGTTAAAGGAATGCTAATGCCAGAAGAGAAACTGTTCCAGTAACACCACAGCATTTCATCTCCAACCTTCAAAACAAAACTCTACAATATTGTCAGATACATGTGGCAGAAAGGGGGAAGGGAGAAGGAGCCAAAAGCTATTTGGATTATTTACTTCTGTTTCACCATGTACCATCAGTCATTAAATCAATTCTATATTGAATTACTTTCATACACATGCATTGGCTTCCACATCTAGAATAAAGTGTTTAACTATCCAGCTAGAAAGTACCAGTTATTGGGGCTGATTAATACAAAGGGTATTACTGTGACAAAAGAAAGCTGGTCCCACCGGTGAGTTTATTCAGACTGGAGAGAAAATATTTAGAAAAATTTAAATAAACAATTTAGCCAATCCTAACAAAAAAACTGGAGTACCCGAGTGTAAACCTGATGACCTTTTATGTTGTTGTACATTCAAGAAATGAAAAAAATAATAATAAATCCACCTTAAAATCTGTCATGAAATAAAATGAGTTGACAAGCTATAAAACTTCAAAGAATTTTAAGAGGACAAAACTTTATGAACAGATTATAACTTACATACGTCGATGCTGGAAACCAAAAATACACAGCGAACACATTCCCTTGATCACAAAAAGTGAGTACTTTTATACAGAAAGCTACAGCTCAGGATTCAACACAAAACAGCTACGCATGTAAATAAAGCTGGAACTGTAAGATAATGGGAGCATGAAAACGTATCAGTGGGTGGAGAAGATGTCTGGAGGACTACTCATCATCTGAGGAGTCCCTGTCGAAAGTATAGGCCATGAAGAAAACGTCGGGTCGAGGAGGGACGAGGGCATGGCCCGGTTTCACAATCTCAAAGCCCAGGAAACTGAAGGTACGCACCAGTTTAGCTGCAGAAACAAGACCGGGACGGTACGTTAACATTCAGAACTAATGGCGGCGACCTCCATCGATTCAAAACGAATAATGTGAACTCAAAGAAGTGAATTGCTCAAACGAGACTCACCACGATCATCTCTGTTCTTGTAAAAGCAGATAAACACACTAACAACTTTCAGATGTTCTTCAGCATACTCCAGGAGAGCCGCAAAACTAGGAGGAAAAGAAAATCAAATGAGGTTTTTTCAGCCTAACAAATGCAAAATTTTTATCACATCATTTTGTGAGAAGTTAAAATCAAACACTGACTTTTAATTGTGCTTTTGAAAGCAAACGAGAGAATCATAAATGTAACCATCACAATGATACTGTCAGTTTTTGAGATTGTCAGACATCTTTTGGTATTACTGGAAAAATGAATTAAATTCTTAACACTACAAGACTTCTTTTATGGTAACGATAAACACCCATCATTAAAGACCAGCTTCCAGGCTCCAGCTTCGTTCCCACCTCTCTTTGCTGCCTTCTGGAAGCGGGTCCAGAGGTATCTCCACATAGAGTGCACTGCTGCTCAGGACAGCGTCCCACTGCGTCGTCTTTGTGGCTGTGGGACGGCTTTGGAAGTGGAGAATCCTCGGGCGCCCATTCCCCGCAGGCTCTTCTGTTACTGTCAATTTTCGATCCTGAAATGAAATAAGGTTTTTTTGAGAAACATGAAATTAATGCAGAAACAGAGTCCAAGGATAAACTATATGTACATTTTATAAACTTTAAAACAACCTGCAAGTAATGACGGGCCACTAGTTCCAAAATGTGTTCAAAGATATGAGCACATCCGCTATTCTCGCAAATTTAGATTCTGTTTGTGGACTTACGGAGTAGAGCGGCCGAGCTGAAGGAGCGTGATCCCGTGTGCCATTCCCTCGCCCACCTGGGATCTTCAGGGGTGGGAGAGGGGCATCAGGAGCACCACAGAGGCCCTGGGCCGCGGGTACTACTACAGTGCAGGGACAAGCTGTCGTAGAGAGAAGGAGGAGAATAAGTCAAACACTCAAGGCTGATTCTTACAATATAAAACAGGAACGATTTGCTCCTGCATTGTTTAAAACTAAAATGACCATTTGACAACCCAACCTCTCCCACCCCCCTTTGACATTGTGGTACTGTAAACACAAGTGTAAATCTACATAATAAATTAGGAGACTTTATTTATATATATTATGAAGCTTAACATGTTCTGGCAACCGTTCCGCTGTGACTAATCACGTTACTGGGAAAAAAAAAAAAAAAAAAAAAAAATCAACCAGTTGTGTAATAACTGACCAAACCGTAAGTCGGAAAAAAACAACAACGCTATTTTACTTTCAGGAACCAACAGCTCTTTTTAGAAATAAGCTAACTTACTTTAATTGTTCAGTCAGACCTGTCAGACAAATAGGCCATTAAGGACGCTTAATGAAATGCACGACGCCACTGAAGTTACTGACCGCTAACTACGTCAGTTGGAGTTGTGAAACACAAGACATTGTTGGTGTGTAGTTTCAGTTTAAATTCGCTTCGTAATACCACTGCCGTTCTTTGAGTAGAGAAAAGAGACCGAAAGACATGCGTCACTTAACGGGGTTGACGAACTGTGGCTCGCCAGTTAGCTTGCTAGCGCAGATCGCTATCGTGACGCAACACCGTTAGGTGTCCGTTGTCACCATTAAGACCGTTCAAGTTGAATGTCGAGGGGCAAAAAAAAAAAAAGCACCGTATAGTAACAAAAAGATTCATTTTAACAGTCTCAAAACCGAAACAACTAAGAGGGATGATAATGACTAATAATACATGTATTTTTAGGTACCATACGGTTAAATGCCGTTACTTCCGTTTTTTTCTGTTCTCGCTAGCTCTGCTGCCTAGCCACCCCTCCCCCACTGGGCTGTTAGCACTTAGCTACGCGAGCAACGTTTTCATGTTTACTTACTTCCCAATCATGTCACAAATACCGCTACTTAAATTCGCCATGGTAGTAAAGGGCAGCTGTTTTCCTTCTTTCTCGCGAGCAAAGCAATGACTGTTTAGGATCCGCTGGAGGTTGGATTTTACCATCCGGCCTCGGATAGAGACACGACTGGCTGACTGCTCTCTGCTATGCTAGGCAGGGAAATGATCGACCAGGGCGACTGGCAGAGGTTTTAAGTAAGCCGAGAGGACCCCGTCAAGGTAGATATAACGACACAACACTGCTTCCGTTTACCTTCAAAATATTGTCAAAATGTCTGAAGTAGTTATCCTTTTGTTTTATAATCAAATTGTTGGAAACACGAAAGAAGGAAATTCAAACAGAATATTATGCTAAAGTTTTTATTTTTAACAAGTTGTCTGTTTTAGTTTTCTCTTTGATTAAAAAGATCAGGATCATTTCAATGTAATGTACTTCACATTACATTTAAGTATGTTTCCTTCACAATGTAATTCTTTTTTTTTTACATTGTGAAATAAATGTGAAAAATATTTACTTCACAAATGTTTTTAACATTTGTGAAATAAAAAAAACAAATGTGTTTTTTACTTCACAAACGATGTCAAGTGGACATCATTTGTAGAACAGCATAGAAACGTCATTTACTGTCCCTCAATGGGGAAATTTAGGTTTATCAGCAGTAAAGTACATTAACAAAAGATTAAGAAGATGAAAAGACAAAACATTAAAACAGTCGAATTTACAGCAAAATAACATTTACAACATCAGAAAAATAATATTTTCATTTTAAATGTGTACAATTTCTGCATGTAATTTCACGGACTGTTTACTTATATTGATTTTGAAACAATTATAGTCCAACTATATACTTTTTTTTTCTTCAAAGAACTGGTGACATCAGTTCCTTAAATTTAATTTACTATTCACATGTCAAAGTATTTTAGATAATCTGTGTCGGTGGTCTTGGTAACAACATTCAGACTTTGTGAAATAAGTAGTTACATGCTGTTCAAAAAATTCAATGATAATTGTCTCACTACCTTTGATGAAGCTAATATTATGAGTTAGATATTTTATACTTGGTGGTCAATTGCCTACTGACTGAAAAGTTATCATACTACTTTAGTATGGCCTTAAAGCAGGATGTGTGATTTAATTTTGTTTACTACACGACTAAAAGTGCCATTTAAATGACAAAGAAAAAAACTTAGCTTTGCATAATGTGCTTTTTGATGGATGTGTTTGTCCTTTTCACTTGTTTCATTCATTCATTCATTCATTCATTCATTCATTCATTCATTCATTCATTCATTCATTCATTCATTCATTCATTCGTTTAACGATGTGAAAAATACGTCTGTAATTATTTAACCAGAAACTTTTATTTTGAAAGAGGAAGTAGAGTACGTAGACACAACTCTGAATTTATATCTTAAAGAAAAAAAAAAGACACTGATCCGCTAGCTGCTACTAGCATGCTAACTCAAAGGTCGGGACATAAAGCTACGTTACGTGACTAAATTCCCATGAGATTACAGTTTTGCCCCGAACTGTTTCCAAAAGTACTAAAGAAATCGTAAAGAAAACACCCAATATCAAAGATACCGTTACTGTGAATTGTTGTCGTATTTACAACAAATTATGTTTACGAGGTTAGCTTTGCTAGCAGTTGCTAACCACAGGGCGTTAAAAAAAGAAAAATAATCAGAAAGTGACAAGAACGTTTTATTTAATAATAAAAGTTGATTCTTTCTTTCTTTTTTCTTTTTTTTTTGTTGAAGTTGATTCATTGTGCACACGTCACAGTCTGACTGTAATTTAATTTTGGATGAAGTTGGTCAGTAAGACCATTTACTTTGCCCTTAATTTTGAAGGCTCATGGAGCTGAGAACAGGGCATTCCTGAAAACGTAATTGCGTAGAATCATTGCGTAGAACTAAATGTGACATATAAGAATACTTTTTATTTATTTTTGCAAATAAAATTCTGAAAATGTGACATGCATTCCTATGGACGTTAGTCTTGTTTACATTGTGACCTTTAGTTGTTGTGCATTTCAACCAAATCACTTTTACAATTCTGCTCATGTGCAAACAGAGCCCGTTTGCACATAAATGGATCTCATAATGAGCACAGCTTTCCTGCGAAGGCCTCACAGGTTTGTTAGAAAACAACAAACTTAAGACAGAAAACTTTTAACAAGACGATCAAGGAACAAGCCAGAAAGGTCAGGGATAAAGTGTCAGAGTTTTAAGTCATTGTATGCCAAACATTTTAGATGTCAAAATCTTTCTTTATCTCCCTCATACACTAGGAGTTGTGTACTATTTGCCTCCTTTTGATTCACGCGCCGCCCTCCCCCTCCGTTCGATTTGTCCCACACTGCGATCCGTCGGTCGTCCAGGCGAAATCGCTTCGGTGTGGCTGCAGATGAACGGCTGGTTGGGAGGGGGAAAAAATGGAAAGCGACACGGCCGTCCGGAGAATAAAACCCTCCGGGACTGGGCGCAGCGGCGCGGAGGACGGAGACGGAGCCTGCGGCCGGAACCGCGAGGACAACGGCTACGGCGGCGACCCGAAGAGGAAGCCCGAAGTGAGGCTGCTGTTACTGCGGGAAGGACTGGCGGCTGCGCTGCTCTCTGGGTTTGTTTTGCTGCTGTGGGGACTCGTTCATCTGTCGCTGCAGCAGCTTGTCATCGGGAAGCCGAGCGGAGAGTTTAACGCGGAGAGAGCGAGGTGAGTTTGGTCATATTCATGTTTCAATATATATATATATTTTTAACTCGTGTTCCGAGTTAAAAGACCCACCTCAGAAAGTCTCTTCCGGGCCCACCTTTACCTGGTCGCTGCAGAGGAGAGGACAGGTGTTCACTGGGTGAAAGGGCTTCAGACGGGGGAGAAAAATGATGAAACAACCCTTTAATTTCATCTGTCAGACTTACCCAAAGATTGCTCATATAAGCAGGGAGTATTTCAGCAAGTAGCTAAAAATCATCAAATATTTAGCAACTGCAAAAGTCATATTCTTCACAGCTTATTTAATTGACAGTAAACAGTATAACCTAAATATGAGCACACATAAAGCCTCGCAAAGGTGTCCAAATCATTTTATTTTGCAATACACCTGCAAATCTAACATGTTTGTTGTATTTTATTTTATTGGTTTCATGACATAGGCAATAAGCCGACAAAGAGTAGTGCATAACTTTGAAATAAGAAAAATGATGCATGGAAGAATTACAATACTTTTTTGCTATTATTGCTATTATTACAAACCAAATCTGGAGAGTGTTTCATGCATTCTACGCCTCCCACTTTACTGTAACACCCCTGAATAAATTGTGACACAAATGACAGCTCAGGGGGTAAAAATGTTGGAATGTATGCCCCCCAAAAAAGCTTTGAACAGTTTGAAAATCCCTTTTAATCAGAAATTGGAAGAGTTTGTCACAACTGCGAAGAGGCTCTCAGTAACTTTGGAGGAGCTGCTCAGTTTCACCGCTTTAAATGAGGGAATATTTTGGCAAGACATTTATTTTTCGGAAAAATCTAGGTTTATGGAGAAAAGCAATTGAATGACGAGAACGGCAGAAAATCCTGTTTGAATGTTGCCACAAGCCTCGTAGGAGTCGCAGAGAATGTGCACAAAGGTTACGCAGGGAAGAAAAGTATCACTGAACCCACTCCCCCCGTCGCCAGCATGACGGTGGTGGCATCATGCTGTGTGGATGAATTACTGCGGCAGGTACAGGAAATCTTGTCAAACTTGACAGAAGGCAGATGGAGCTGAGAACAGGGCATTCCTCAAAGAACACTGACTTCAAGAAAATTGCGACTGCAGTGGCTCGAAGCAGGACAGACACAGCCAGAGCTACGAATGAAGAACTCGGATTAAAACAGATTTGTGTGGCAGAAGGATCCATTTAAAGTCCAGACTGAAATCCTTTTTTTTTAAAAAATATAATCTGCTGTAAGGCCTGAAAATTATATTCACAGATGCTCTCCACATAATCTGACTGCTATTTTGTAGATATGCAACCTTGGAAGAGACGCACGCTGAAAGATTTGCTACTGCAACAAATTTTGTTTCTTCTGAGGGAGACCTGAATACAAATGTAGCTCTGTGTCCTTTTTATTCTGCTCCATAATGAAGTACTATTCTGTTAGTAGTAATAGTACAGCAAACCCTAACAAGTTTTGCTGATGTTAGTGGTTCTAGTGACTAGCAATCACTGTGTGTTATATTCTTCTGATGATTAATCGATAAATCGGATCAAAAACATTCTACAAATTTTTCATTTAACCACCTAAGACTTTTTATACAACATTTGAAAGATATTAAATGATGCAAAAAATAAAAATAAATTCCTGTTTTAAGTAAGAATATCAACATTTTATTGCCGTAAATACAGCAGCGTAGGATTACTTTTGTGACCTTTAGCGACTTTAGGGTGAAGCTAAAACTATTCCACTTGAGGAGTTTTGACTGAAACGTATTTGCAGGCTAAGATGTTTTTATGTTAAATGCAAAGTGTACATATATTTTGTGCAGTTTTGGCTTAATTACTGCTAATGTTTTTTTTTCGTGTGTGTAAATGGCCTACTTTGAGTCATTATCAGTCAACAATAAAGCGATCATTTCAGTAATTGATTAATTGCGATTAATCGCTTCAGCTAAAGGGTTGTGTAAAGCACTGTAGGTCCTATCTGAATGTTTAGCTGTTGGCTTTTGTTTCAGTTCAACAAAACAGGCAGGCTGCTTAAAACCATGTTAAACATCTCGCTTATTAAAAGCAGCTGCGACATTTTTCAGATTAAAGGATCAGAGTGTCTCTCTGTGCAGTTTTTTAAGTCCCCATGTAGAAGGGATGGAGGGCCTGCAGGGATTATGGCACAAAATCTGAGGTCAGCAGGGCTGGGGTTGAGCTTTTAAAAAGTGCTGGGCAGAAGGATTTGCCATCATTTAGCTGTTCGCTGCATAAATTAGTGCTGCATGTGAAGTGATTTAGAGCTATGAGCTTCTTTGTCTGCAATCTGGAAGTCCCTGTTTATATCATTCGGACTGTTAAAATGCTGCAAAGCACATAGGGTGAAAGCAGCAACTTCAAAATCAACGTCTGGCGCTTTGTTTGTAGAAAGCGATGAAATATGGCATTTCACTTCCCACGGTTTGATGAGGAAGGTTTATTTGTAGGTGCAGCAAGGAACTTGCTTGTATTATTTGTTTAGGCAAAAATGTAAGTAGAAACAGACATTTTTCCATTTACTTGTATGTATGAACATTTTAGCATTACTTTTTGCCTTGTTTACATTAAAATAAGCCTTTCCATAATCAGATTGAAGAAAATCGGAATGTAGCTCAGGTAATCGTTTTATAACCTTAATTTCAAAGCCAATTGTTTTTACAATGGGAGCCTCTGTTTTATAGTTTACCATAGAGATGAACACAAATACTGTAAGTTAACTGTTGAGTTCATAGCGAGTGAGGAGATCCTGCCACAGTTTCTAGGATGTTTTTTCTGTCGTGATGCACAAAGTTGAGTCAGACACAGCTTGGATTAAAAGGTTTGCTTCTGGTTGTTTATGTCACAAACACGCAGGGTGCGTCTGCCACTATTTCAGCAAGCGGCGCAGCAGTTTGATCTTTCCTGCCTGACTCTCTCTTTTCTTCTCTTGTTCCTCTTTTATTTCAGGCGACACTTGGAGCAGATCACCGGCGTCGGCCCTCGGCCGGTCGGCAGCCAGGAGAACGAGGTCCTGACGGTGGGCTACCTGTTGGAGCAGATAGAGGACATCCGGGCGAGGACGGCAGCGGGGCCTCACCGGGTCACCGTGGACGTCCAGCGCCCCACCGGCTCCTTCTCCATCGACTTTCTAGGAGGCTTCACAAGTTTCTACGACCGAGTCACCAACATCGCAGTGAAGCTTGAGCCCAAACGTGGAGCCCAGCACCTCATGCTCGCCAACTGTCACTTTGATACCGTGGCCAACAGCCCAGGTACAAACTCATTAGTTGGTTTGTTTTCTTTCCGAAACTGATGGGAAACATTGGCACGGTCAGACATGCGTCAAAAAATACAGATCTTTTACTTTCCGTTAAACACATGACAGGTGCAGTCGCTGCTGATCCCTTTTGAACCTGATCTATTGAGAAATGTCGGGGTGTAAAAAACTTTAGCTCATGTGTGATTAAAAATGTCCGTTGATTAACGAGACATACCTAAAGAGTAAGGAGGGGATTTCAGGAGTTTTCTTATGCCATCATCTTAAATAGGGATGTGAGGACCAGGATTGGGAATGAGTAGTAGAACAAAAACTTCTGAAATTATTAACATTTTATTTTTTCCATTTTTATTTAAATATCTATACTGATAAAAACATCAATAAACCGCAAATATCCAAATCTCTATTTGTCTCTCTGACTCTGCATAATAACTTAAAACAAGCTTGAGATACTTTCTGTTTGAATGGTTGATTGTTTTTCTTTCTCTCTCCCTCTTTCTGCCAAAAACTGGATGACAAGGGGCTTCAGTCTGGTGCCTTAGTTTCAACTGGCCCCTTTTTTGAAGGGCAGTTTTGTGTGCAGAGACTTCAGTATCCATTTTATTTGTTGTTTATTTTGGATATCTGAAATATTTTGGATATCTGAAATGTCTCCCAGTCCTGGTATCAAACATTTTTCTAATTTTCTTTATCAATCTTTGAGAGGGTGTACTTGCATCATCAGAATGTTATTTGAAAATGATCCCAAAACATTATATTTAATCATTTGTAGGGCAATTTATCATCCAGCAAAATTTGTTATTATGTCAGGCCTATGTATTACTTCAAAATAGTTTGCAGCAAAAAATTGCTTGTTGACTCTTAAATAAAAAGACTTCTAGGTTACTGACTTGCTGTGCTACAATAAAAGCCTCCAAACTAACTCTTGTGTTTATATGTTAGCACTGAGCTACAGCTGCACATGCCTTATGCCAAAGCACTTTTGGTATGGATCTATTAGCTTTTTACTGAAAAAGGCCAAATACTACTAGGACAGATTATTTATAGTAATGGAGATTCAATGCATGGGATGAAAAAAAAAATCCTCCAATGGGCACATACCAAATACGGACCCCCCAAATTTAGAGTAATCATCTTCCACTTCTGCTGGAGACAGAATTGGAAGATAACCTCCTTGACACTCCCAGGATAAGCAGGTAAAGACAATAGATATATGGAGGTTCACCTAATCAGAAAACCTTACTCTTTTTTCTGAGTGTGGAGAAAACCGAGGTGTTACCAGGCAGGAAGTCTGCAGTATTTTTCCCTCCACACCCTCTGAGCAAGTTGAAGAAACAATAGTTTCTTAAATCAACACAACTTTGCTGGTGGGGAAAAAAAAAATATATCCAATAGGTGTGGGACAGAAAAATAAATATACATCAGGAACACACAGTCCACAAAATCTGATACCCTGGGATTTCTAGTAATAATAAAGATGAACAAAGAGCCAGTGCATGCACGTGAACCGTCTACTACACTGTTTTATGCATCTGTGTAGTAGAGCGCAGAGCTTCTCTGGAATGAAGAGCAATAAATTGGTGGCAGGAGCAGAAAGCAGGGCAGACATTCTGTTAACCAGCTTCACCCTGCCCCCACTTCCTAACACATAGATTCACTCCAGAAAGCTGGAGCACATGATGCCTCTGATCTTTGCTTCACTTTTTTTTTCTCCTTTTATTTCTTAACTTTTGTTCCTTACCGTTAGTCGGTCTAATCTGTCTGAATCACATGCTCTTGCCACATGCTGCTTCCCTTTTCCTTGACTCTGATCCCTTTGTTTCCTGATGGCGACACACACCGTATGTTTTAGCTGAACTTGTTCTGGACTTGTCTTTGTCCCGCTCGTCTCAGTTATCGCCTCCCATCTTTGTTGTCTCCTGTCAAACAAGTTATTTGCATGATATACAGTTGCATCCCTTTGTTTTTTGCGAAGAGCTTCCTGCGTTTGTTTTCTTGTATAAACGTTTGCCTCGTTGTTTGTTCCTGAAGTTCGTTTCGTTTCAGGTGCCAGTGACGATGCGGTGAGCTGTGCTGTGATGCTGGAAGTCCTCCACGATCTGGCCAACCAGTCCACTCCTCTCCACCACGGCGTTGTCTTCCTCTTCAATGGAGCCGAGGAAAATGTCCTGCAGGTGAAATGATTAATGAGTGGCAAAACTTGGCACCAACTCTAAGCTATTTGGCCGCATTTCGTTTTCCTTGTCTCAGTTATCTCTATCTCTCCCTCTTGTAAATTATTCTACCTCAGGCCAGCCATGGTTTTATTACCCAGCATCCCTGGGCCAAACAAGTTCGTGCTTTCATTAACTTGGAGGCTGCAGGCGTTGGCGGCAAGGAAGTCGTTTTCCAGACAGGTTTGGAAAGATTCATACTTAAGAAACTGGTGATTTTCTTCCAGTTTATGAAGTGTTTGAAATATACATGCATGTATTTGTGCTGCTCTTTTGTTTTTTTTTTACCACAGAAGGTGCAAAAGCTTGTAAAGTCCATGGTGCAGTTTTTTTTCAATTTTTGAAGTTTAGAAACTCCTGCTTTTCTTTGCATATTTCTGCAGCATCTTATCTGTAGAAAGGTGTAATTCTAATTAATTACACAAATACAGCCGTCATTCTAACATTTCAAAATGTTTTCTTTCCTCTGAACTTTTCAATATTTTGTCCCTTTAGAGCTACAAACCTCAATGTATTTTATAAAGGTTTTATTTTAAAAATATGAGGCAGCACATACGTTTATAGTGTTTTAAAAAAAATCCCACTTTCCCCTGACACCTTTAAATGGAATCCAGTGGAATCAGTCGCCTTCAGGAGTCACCTAGTCTGCGAAGAGTAAACCTGTGTGTAATCTAATCTCAGTGTAAATCGATCTGTTCTGTGAACCTCAGAAGTTTGCTGGAGAACATAAATGAACAAACAGCATCATGAAGAACGAGGAACGCAGCAGGTTGACCAGAACGAAAGTTGTAGGAAAGTTTGGAACTGAACATCACCCTGAATGCATCACGGCAGTGGCAGGATTATGCCGTTTGACTTTTCTTCAGCAGAGTAATGGGTGAAGTTACACACAGGTGAACCTCATTCATTAATTAGGTGACTCTGAAAGCAATTGATGTTAATGGATTCAATTTAGCACAAATGTTCAAAAATATATAAATTTCCTTGTCATTCATATTTCATTTTTTACAAAGACAAATAATTACTATATATTGCAGTTTGTGGTTACATTTTGACAGTATATGAAAAAGTTCAGGAATGTGAATACTCTTCCCTTGCGCCATTACTCATTTGCAGTAAGTCTGCCACATGCTTAGTTATTCAAGGTCTAAAATGAGGAGGAGAAAAGGGAAAAGGGAACAACAAAGATTTTGGTGTAATGCTTAATAGGTAATATACATGTTTTTAAAATAAATGGTCAATTTTAACTAAATTTAAATTTAGTTTTTGCCATATTAGATTAGCAAAGTGGGTCCCCTATAATTGACGCAGTAAAAACAGACGATCTTGGGTTTCTTGGATTGTTATCACCGGTAGGGCCGGAGAACCCGTGGCTCGTCCAGGCTTACGTTCACGCGGCCAAACACCCCTTCGCCTCGGTGGTCGGACAGGAGGTCTTTCAGAGCGGAGTCATTCCCTCCGACACAGACTTCCGTATTTATAGGGACTTCGGAAACATCCCAGGTAAGACCAGCCACAGTGCAGAGCTGGATGATCTGTGAAGTCAATGAAAGCTCGTACATTTTCAAACGCACCAGTTGGATTTGGAGTTTTCTTTTCCTTTTTCTTACAGGCATCGATCTTGCGTTCATTGAAAACGGTTTTATCTATCACACCAAATACGACACGGCCAACAGAATACTGACAGACTCCATCCAGAGAGCCGGTAGGGATCTGATTTCACCTCTACCCATCCAAAAATATAACCAATAATACGTTCTCAGGCTAGTAGATTCGGTGGGTTTAAAGCCAACTCATTTTAGCTATAATGACGAATCACTCAGCTCGTTTGTGCTGCCCCTAACTTCTGATGTCTTTCTCTGAGAACCTAAAAGATACAAACCTCATTTACTTTGTGCTTCTGTGTTGCTGACTTGTTCGGCTTTTACTTAGCAGAAAATGCAGCCAGTCAACACTAAAGACCGAGGAAGTTTGGCATCCATCCTATCTCTCTCAGCAACCACTGGGCATCTTCTTTCTCTTCCTCCACACAACAGCTCAACTTGAAAGACATAAATTATTGGAGAGAGGAAAGTGAGATTTCAGAGAGAGCAGGCGTGTATTTTTAGTGCGTGAAGGAGCAAGAAGGGTTAGGATGATGCACCGCTAGCTTGTGGTTTTTTTGAAACAACAAAGAGGCAGGCAAAGTTCAAAAGTGCAAAGCTGGAAGTGCTTTCATATTCTGTAGTTGTAGTTAAAATGGATCCGTGTTTCTTCTAATGCATATCTGTGGAGGCACGTTTAAGTGATTAAAATGAACATTCTCGAAGGCATAGTTATTTTTGTAATCTCGGTTAGTTAAACTGAGAAAGAGAAGCTGTGGCTGCAGATACACACAGAGAGAGAGAGAGCTAAAGGAACAAGAAAATGTTGTAGTTGACTCGCTGTGTTGGGCACAGCGAGTCAACCAGGCGGAAGAACAATGCCGCTTTGTTTCAGATGCGTGGTTGCGGGTCGAGCATGTCGACTGCGAGGCAGTGCAGGATAACAGAAACCATAACAAGTATCAAACACACACGCACACATACACTTCTTCATGATGTAATCACAAGTCTGTGCTAAACTGTGTGACTTTCTGTTGTCTCATACATCAGCTGATGTGCTGTCGTTGCGCAATATAATCAACGCCACATGCGTTTTCACCCTCCTGCGGCGACTCGTTTTCTCCGTTTATTTTTTAGGTAAATCTGAGGGATTTTAAAACCTGTATGTGAGATGAAGTATGTGGACATGAAGCTGTGTTTTACGGAGAATATTCAGGAAAGTTGCAGGATTGCAACAGCGTTGTTTGTAGGTGGCCAAGTTGGTTTGATTTACATTAAAAGTTTTAATGTATTCATCCTTCATAACTTTATGCATAGTTATTAATTACAAAGCAACCTTTAATTTGATAAAAAGTTTAACTTTCGAGGAGCTGCAGCAATTTGAACAGAAGACTCAGAGTTTATGGTTTCATTTCTACTGGAATGACATTGTGGAAATAATCGAGGGGAACTTGGTTAATCATTAAGGTCTTGGGATCAAAGCAACACAGGAATGATTAACGAGAAACATGAAAACCTCTTTAATGGGTTTCACTGATTTCCTTTTGTGTTTGTTATTTGAACTGGACCAAATACAGTGAACACGGCTTCACATCTATGATATAAAGTAGATTTTCTGTTCAGCCTTCTACCAAAAACTAATTTGCCTCTTTCCAAAAATAGCATACATGGATTTCTCCACTACCTGTTTTGATTGTGAGCTGACGACTTTTGTACACTCGTCCTGCTTCTAGGTGACAACATCTTGGCTGTTTTGAAGCACCTGGTAATGTCAGAGAAGCTGGCAGACTCCTCAGAGTATCGGCACGGGAACATGGTGTTTTTCGACCTGCTGGGGATGATTGCCATTGCGTATCCAGCTCGCGTTGGCACCATCATCAACTACATGGTCGCCGCAGCCACCTTCCTGTATCTAGCCAAGAAGGCGTCTCTGCCCGGCAATCGAGGCAGGTCTCGTCATTTCTTGTCATTCCCTGGACAAGTTTGTGTTTCTCTTCTGATGACGTCGATCTGAATCTCTTGAAGGTGGGCGTTATGTTCGGGACCTGGCCTGTGCCACGGGCGTGGCGGTGCTGGGCTGGTTCGTCACTCTGCTGTCGGTGCTCATTGTTGCTCTTCTGATCACTCTGCTGGGACGCTCCATGTTTTGGTACACTCACTTTTATGCTGCCATCTGCCTGTACGGAGCTGCAGCCACCGGGAAAATGATTCTCATCCACACACTGGCCAAAAACCTTTACTACGGAGTGAGTTTTCAGATAACTTTCTTTTTTTAAAGGCATTAAAATTAGGTTAACAGTCAGAAACAAAACCAAATGTGCAGTGGAGTCTTGATATGGTTTATAAATCAGAAATAAAATAAATAAATAAAAAAGCATTATATAATTAGGAAAAACAATAAATAAATACATGAACACTCTTAGTTTTACATTTTTGATTATAATAAAACAATGCTACTATTGCTACTAATAATGATAATAATAAAGTAATAGCAATATTAGCAGTGATGATGATTATGATGAATATTCTGGTTTCTCTTGTAAATCTTCTTGGCGAAGTTGAGGAAGACTGAGCGATGAGTTTCTGCAGCCAGTAACTCTAATTAAAAAAACCCAACAACTCAGTTTTCTAAGTGGCAATGAAGAAAACATTCAGAACCAAAATTGCCTGCATAGTTTTCCAACCTCTCAGGCGTGAATTGGTACATCAGAGCTGAGCATCGTGTGTGTGTGTGTGTGTGTGTGTGTGTGTGTGTGTGTCTCACCCAGGGGGTCCGTCTGGTGGAGCTGGGCGATCTGTATTTTGACGTGAGCTTGCTGCTCTGGTGCTGTAGCCTGGTGTGGCTCACCCAGCGGGGTTTGTGTTCAGCCTACGTTCCGATGCTGATGGTGGCCTTCCCCCTGGTCACCAGGCTTCTGCTGACGAAGGAATTTAAACACAGAGGTAAACATTTGCAACTCATTTCGGCCATCGTTAAGCACAAAATTACTCGTACTCTGGCAGAATTATGGCCTGCAGTCAACGATGTAACAAACTCAGCTTGTCAGCTGTAGTTTTAAAACAGTGTCACCTTAAGAAGAGTGGTAGGTATCACTCAGTTAGTTTAGACAAATTTACTTGACAAATTTACTTGTAATTGAAAAGTGTAGCAGCCATCTTTCAACTGCTTAACCAGTGGTGCACAGCAACATGTAGGGGAGGGATAGAGCCATGTTTTTCTTTGTCACGCCAGATATTTTTTGGTGTGTTCTTTGCTTTGATTGAAAGCTCTTAAATGACCTTCTCAGCTCCCTCACCGCCTTCTGCACAACCTTCTGCATTGCAGCATTCCAGTGGCCATTATTTTGTTTATTTGTGTGTAAATAAAGGTCCAGAAAAAATTAGACTACAATCCTATTTGACTTACTGTCAATGATTAGCATATAATGCCACAAAAACAATACATATCCTAGATTTTTTTTTTCAATCTTGCAATGTTTTTTCTAAACATTTTGTCAACGCTCTAGTCAAGTTTATGTTGCATTTATGAAAGATGTTGACTGCAGAGGGGTGATGTTCATATAGGTGGTTCCAGTACTTGTCTTGGAAAAAAAAAAAAAACTTAAACTGAGATGTTGTGTTTTTTTTATTAAGGTCTACAGAAGCAACTGAGAAGGAAAAAAATCAGTCTAAAGCTGAACTTCCTCACAAACAGCTTTTCTTCCTGCAGGAGCATCACTGAAGTACAGCGGTCTGTATCTTTTGGGCCTGGCGCTTCCCTTTGTCCACTTCATGTTCCTCATCTGGGTGGTGTTTGAGATTTTCACCCCCATCATGGGCCGCAGCGGCACAGAGATCCCCCCTGAGGTGGTGATGGCCTCTTTGGTCACTTTGGCAATCGTTTTCCTCTCCTCTTACTTTGTAAGTATTCAGTCAGAAATCCAGAATGTTTATCTGAAGAATTTGTTTCATTTTCCAAACAGAAAATCTTAAATTTCTACTTAATTTGCTTTAAATAAGCCCTCACTTTTTTAAAATAATTTTTAGAAGATTGAATGTTGGTTTTACTTCAATGCACATGTTTTTATTTTGCAGCTGCATTTTGTCTATTTGGTGAGGAGCACTAAGTGGATCCTGGCAGCTCTGGGCTCGGTGTTCGTTGTTACGTTCCTGTTGGTGTCAGCCGGCCTCTTCTTTCCTTACTCCGGGAATCCAAACAGCCCCCGACCAAAGAGGATATTCCTGCAGGTTCTAAAATTACAAAGAAAATTTGTTTACAGATAATATATATTAAAAAAAAACCCTGACAGGACCAATTTTATTTGCATGATAAAAAACTCTCCACCCACTCCGTCTCTCTGCAGCACACGACTCGGACCTTCCACAACTTGCAGGGCCAGGTGGAGAGCAGAGACTCTGGCATCTGGATCAACAGCTTCGACTTCACCGCAATTCAGCACATCACGCCTCAGATCCCCGAGATCAACGACAGCATCCGGACCCGCTGCCGAGAGGACCGGCCCTTCTGCGGTTACCCCTGGTTCCTGCCTGTGAAGTTCCTCGGCAGGTCAGAGCGACAGACTTGACCGCACACCGCTTGTTTTCGCGTCCTCGGCTCGACTCCACAGAGAGCTTTGGTGTGTTTGCAGGAAGAACTGGTACCTTCCCGCCCCGGAAGTGTCTCCTGGTTCTCCGGTGGATTTCAGCCTTATGTCCAAGGAGGAGACGAGCTGGGGAACTGTCAAGATGACTTTCAGTGTCAAAGGTAAAACGCACATTTGAGTGAAGAGCTGAACTAGAGAAGGTGTTAACAAGATATTTAGCAATTTTTTTGGAAATTTGTGAGCATGTTAGGTGAGAGTGTGTCCTTTTATCCCTTCCTGTCTTGCTCAGGGCCCAGCCACATGTCTCTGTATCTGATGCCTCACAGAGGAGCCAGTCTGTCCACCTGGTCTCTCGGTGACGGGACGCCTCAGTTTGACCTGAATGGAGAATACTTTGTCTTTTATTCCCACGGCCTCGATGCCACGACATGGACCTTTTGGTTTGAAATACAGGTGCCACCTATGACCAATCATTCCTCCATTTTGTTTTAGCGCATCATTAGAAAGCCCTGAAGGCGTGTCTTCAAATATCAGCTGCATATGTCTTGATGGGAAGTTTTTTTGGCAACATTTGGTTCACACTTTCTTACCAGTTGGTGGCGGTAATGCTCTATTAAGCTTGATGTTGCCTGATGTTGAAAGGAAATATCAGAAGCAACTTGACACTGTGGTAAAAAGATATGAGCTATATCAATTTTCTCACCCACGTCTGAGTCAGAAGACCTAAAGATCTCCCCTTTCAGATCAGTAACACGATCTCAGTAATTTGTTAAATACTTGTAATGTGTTATATGTTTGACAGTCGGATGCTCTACTTTCTGTCAGAGGACGATCTTTCTGTTTTAGTTCTGGACATTTCTGGATTTCTGACAAGCATGTTCTGAAGGCCTCAGTTGGCAAAGTCTGTGGGGGATTAGCTCAAGCTGAGAAATGTGTGTAAATGGATAGATTTGTTGTCACATGAAAGTCTTTAAAGGGGACTTGTTTTGCAAAACTTGCATTTTGCATTTTTTTGGTTTCTAAAAACAGACTGAGTGCTTTCAGAAAGCATCCAGCAATTTTGGGGCAATTTTTTTGGTCTGGAAAAGGAGACGTTTTAAAAACCTTATTAATGTGACATCACAAATCTGAAGGCCCCTCACATAGCAACCCAAGCAAAGCCCAGCCCGGTACTCAGCAACCTAGCAAAGTGAAGCACCACGGCATTTGGTCGGCTGGTTATACTGCTGTATGCTTTGTACAATGGCTGCTGGAAAAAAAACAAGTGCTTTGCTGACGACTTACAATTGAGAAGCCAACCGTTTTCTGCAGTCTTGTTGGTTGAGCAGGAGGCTCTACATCTGCTTGTCAGAGATTGTTTGCAGCCATTTTTACATGCAAATATAAACGTTGAGTCGGGGGGTCATGGCCAGCTGCAGCTTATTTGAATTTAAAGTGACAGAAAGCCCAAAACAGCTCATCCTGTAAGGAGGTCAAAACAGGAAGAAAGTAGCAGACTGAAATCTCATCATTAAAGAGGGATTTTGTGCAAAAAGGTGTGATGCAGATAGTTATCTTAGCCTGTTCAAGGCAGCATAATAACTCACCTTTAAGTTCAGAAAGAGAATAAAGAGTAAGCAGCTCAGCGTAATGATGGAACTGTAGGTTTGGGTTTGGTTCCTCCCTCCATACATGAGGCTCATAATTTTATTTCCTGTCAGCCTCCAACAGAACCAGATCCAGCCGGCACCGAGGGGATGATCTCCGTTGCCATATCGACGCACTATTTCTTCGGCGAAGACCAACGGACTGCTCAGCTGGAGGAAATCCTCCGGAAGTTTCCCACCTGGGCTTTCCCCTCCTCCTGGGTCAGTACCTACGACATGTACCGGTACTGAGAGCATCGCTACTGAAACAGAGGAGCGGCGGCGGCCCACTGAGACAGCTCAGAGAACGAATCTGCTGCCTTTTCCACTAATACCCGCGCTGCGTGCCGCCCTACCTGAGAGAGAGACCTCCATCACTGTGTCGGCGGGCTGAGCAGCTGACTGAGCAGCATCGGTGCCCAGGCCACCACAAGCCTCATGCTCTCTACTGGGTTAGTGAAACAAAGGAGTCTTAAGTTTGATTTTGCCTTTTTTTTTTGTACTCAGCTGTGCCTTTGATTTCCACGCTCTCTCGCTCTTCTCTCCTCACGTTTCGTCCCTCTCACGCGCAAGCGGCGATTCGCACCGCATGTGTAAGTCGCTCTGTTCACCAGCAAACCTCCCGGGCTGCCGCCACACTAAACGTGCCTCTGGATCGGCTGCAGATGTCTGTACCGTCCTGGCGGGGAGACGCAAACCCGCTCTCATGTCGGCTCCTTTTTACAAAGTGGAAAAAAAAACAACAACAAAAGGAGCTAATCGTGCACTCCGTCAAATATATGTTGCAAATCCCGACGACTAACCGTGAGACTCCTTGTTGTTCCTTCCTGTCCTGCAGATTTAAAGCAAACAACATCCACAGGTTTAAATGAGAAATGGGAATATCTGCTCAGGCTGTCAACAGGCCTGCAGCAAAATCATAAAGAACTGACCGACGTGTCAGTGCTTCTAAAAGTTCACTAGAAAAGATATTCAGATGCCAGCTTTAGCAGAGTCAGATAGAAATGAAGAGAATCCCTTCTTTGTTTTTATTTTTTTAAATGCATTCCTTGAGTTTTTCGGTAGCAAAGCTCTCCTGTTCTGTTCCACACCGAAGTGACGCTTACTAACGTTTCATCTTGCTTTAACGTTACTTTTCTTAAACCTGATTGGCCTTCATGGGGTCTGCGGCAGGCCCAGCGACTTTCTGATCCTTAACTGGATTTGTTTTGTTCCACTTGATTGTTCTGTTGTCTCTTTCTGACTCCAAATGAATCTAAGCAATGAGAAAGTTATGTATATTAGTTATAACCTAATTAAGTTCTTTAATAGAATGGTGAAAGTTTAGTGAGCTTTCTACAAGTTTGCACATTTAATTAGGAAACACTACAGCAAAAACATTCTTTGTTTTAATGTCATTACCTTTGCTCCTCACATTAGTGGATGGCTATTTTACTACAATTTGTTCACTAATATAATATTTTGTGGATTGTAGCTTTGAATAAGTAGCTCCAGTTATTCAAGGTAAAAAAAAAGAAAGAAAGAAAGAGAAGCAAATTTGTAGATTCCTGAAATTAAGAAAATAAATTATACTCCTTTTTAATTTGATCTTTCTAAAAATGGCTATATATTTTATGGAACAAATATAATTCAGCGTAATTGTTAGATCGGATCTGATGCATTTCGTTAAAATCCATAAATATTGCATCACTCGTCATGTGATATTTGACATTTCTTTGTCATACAGATTCATTCTTTTTGCCGAGGAAGATTTACAGGCTGTTTGTTGGCTTGTTTCAGCTCCTCGTCCGAAACGACCGAAAACATTCATATGCGAATCTTAAATCCTGTTGTTAATTTTAAAATGACCTGCTGTGACCAGGCCATAATTAAACTTTGAGGACATAAGGTGTGCGTGAATGTAAAACAAAAATCCACCGGTGCCGCTGAAGGAAGCCTGTACGATGTTTGGTGTTTTGGTTTCATCTAAATGTGGAGGATCATCTGTCTGAACAACAACTCGGCTATGAACAGCCGCTCTAACCTTGAGACACAGCAATCAACACCATTAGTTATTGAACCTGTTCCACTTTGAATGTTAATAGTTAGCAGGTTGATGTTGTAGTTCTAAACTAAATGATCTGATTCTCTTCAAGTCCTGCATTCACAGAGATCATGCACTGATGTGTTACCTCCACCTTTCAAGCTGAAGCTTTGGGGAAATGTGATTTATTTTTGTTTATTTAGCTGCTTTCATGCAGAATAGATGGCAGGACAGAACGGGGCCTTAAGTTTTCTGCTTTCGAAGGACGCACCGAAAGTTTTCGAGATTCTAGTTGGTTTGCAAATGTTGGAGATTAAAATCTCCCCCCTTGGTTCATGTTGAGGTTTTTATACTTCTGCCTGGAACGCATGACATTCTGCAGCAGATTTAGTTAGGCCCGAGCAGCTAAGCGCTGCGAAGGCCTATTGTTTTCCCTTATTATTATTATTCTTCCACCCAAATGAATTGGCTTTTTGGGCTTTATCATATTCAAAAACTCACCAAACTTGGCGGAGGCCTTAAGCCTGTTTAAAATTTACGTATTTTAAAGTCGTAGCAAAAATTGCAACAGAAATGTCTCTACGGCGCCACCTAGAAATTGGAAAAACACCCTTTTTTACCCTCTGCTATTCACTTACTTTATCGTAGACACATGAAATTTGGTACACTTGTAGAGCTCCCCAAGACGCTCAAAATTTACAATTAATGTCATAGTGCAAGTATCACAGGAAGTCAGCCATTTGATTGAAGTTCCCATTTTGACCCCATTTTTGCCGATTTTTGCCGTTTACAGCCTTTGTATTTGATCTATCTCCTCCTAGGGATTTTGATTGATCGACTTCAAACTCGGTCAGTCTGTTCATAAGGCATGTCCCATCTAAAGTTATCTAAACGGTGAGTTTGAGTATGCTGAAGGGGGGTTTGCAGGGGTCAAAGTTCACCTACTCGCCATAAAAAAATAAACTGCTATATCTCTTACACAGAAACTCACAGAAGCATCAAAGTTTCTGTGATTGATCATCATCGGGTCTTCTACAATACCCTATGGTCGAATGATGACATCACTTAGGCCACGCCCCCTGAGAACAGGAAGTGTAATGTTTTACTGTGAACTGTCGCTATCTGACCCCTTTGACCTCATCAACATGAAACTGTGCCCAGACACAGAGAACATGTTGGTGTATTGAGGATTCTAACCCCGACCAGCTTCGATGGAGCAGGTGGGCGTGGTGGCGTGGCGAAGTCACCTGTAACGCCATCGCCATACGTTTGGCTCTCAATACCACATTTTCGGGCCCAGCTGCTGCAAACTCATAAGGATGGACCCTCATCTACTCCCCGACAGGAATCCATCACAATATTTGGTGGGCGTGGCCTAATTTCTCTATAGCGCCCCCTAGAAAACTTTAAATGATCAGCCCAAGCCATGCTTTAACCTACAAATACGAAACTTTGTACACATGTGTATCTTGTCAGGACGTACAAAAAAGTCTCTTGGAGCCATGGTCTAAACCCCACAGGAAGTCAGCCATTTTGGATTCAAGTTCGGTTTTTGACCCCATTTTTGCCGTTTACAGCCTTCGTATTTGATCTATCTCCTCCTAGGGATTTCGATTGATCGGCTTCAAACTCGGTCAGTCTGTTCATAAGGCATGTCTCATCTAAAGTTATCTAAACGGTGAGTTGAGTATGCTGAAGGGGGGTTAGCAGGGTCAAAGTTCACCTACTCGCCATAAAAACATAAACTGCTATATCTCCTACACAGAAACTCACAGAGGCACCAAAGTTTCTGTGATTGATCATCATCGGGTCTCCTACATTACCCTATGGTCGAATGATGACATCACTTAGGCCACGCCCCTGAGAACAGGAAGTGTAATGTTTTACTGTGAACGTTCGCTATCCGACCCTTTGACCTCATCAACATGAAACTGTGCCAAGACACAGAACACATGTTGGTGTATTGAGGATTCCAACCCCGACCAGCTACGATAGAGCAGGTGGGCATGGCGGCGTGGCGAAGTTACCTGTAACGCCATCGCCATACGTTTGGCTCTCAATACCACATTTTTGGGCTCAGCTGCTGCAAACTCATAAGGATGAATATTTATCCACTCCCCGACTGGAATCCATCACAATATTTGTAGGGCGTGGCCTAATTTCTCTATAGCGCCCCCTAGAAAACAGCAGCCCATAGGTTATGTTGTTATTAATTATTTAAATATACATTATTATAACTTTATATATATATAAGTTTATTTTGTGGGTTAAAGTACAAACATTCATTCATTTTTGCTAGAAATAATACAAACAAAGTCATTCAGCAAAACTTATGACAGCGAAGTAAGAAACACTGGGGTCAGTGTGATGGAGTACTACTGGCACCTTGTGGAGAAATACTGGTACTGCTAGTGCAATACCAGTATTGCGACAGCAGGAGGCAGTGGTACTCCATCAATGACAAAACAGATCGACGCTACGTAATAACAGTCAGCTGGCGACAGCTGGAGCTGCAAAGTTTTCCTGAACATTTTGCTTGCTTTTGGAGCCACAGAACTTGGACGCTCAACATTTGCTTGGATTTTGGAGTTGCAAATACGAACCACGCTTTGGAGCAAGAAGGCTCTGTTGGACCGGAGTTGGAGAAGTTTAATGGGCTATTTGCACCTCAGCTTACACGTTCGGAAAAAAACGGCTGAAATGTTTTTCCAAGGTAACAATTAATAATGTACATCGATCCGAAACCCCAACAAGTAAGGCAAAGAAAGGTTTTAAGATGTTCGCCTCGTTATACATTCACAGATATGAAGGTGAGTTTTATTTTCTTTAAACTGCTAGCACAAGGCTGCTAGCTTTCTAGTAAAAATCTGCTATTTAATTATCTAAAGATTTCTCCGCCATTCTAACGGACACTGTTTCTGCCTTATTTTCAAGCATATTACGTGTGTTTATTGTTAACGACAATAAAGCAGCGGGCAGGGGGGGGGGGGGGGGGGGCAGATTACAGTTCAGACTTTTTGCTTGAAGTATGAAGAACAAAAACGAGCACAGAGCTTACTCTGGTATCGGAGTTCTAGTTCAGCTGACTGTTCAGATTCAGAGTTATTACTTTTAGAAAAATATGGCCGTGTTGCTTAAGATTCTGTGTTATTTCATTTATTACTTTTGCATGCTGTGTGAAGGGCTCATTAAGACGGTGTTTAGAGCGGTGTGTACGGCGTTAGCTTCAAGTGGTAGCTTTAACTTGTAGCAACGAATATTTACAAGCTGTCTTAATTGAGGATGGCTTGGAAATCCATGAAAACTTAAACAAAGTACATAGTATTGTTTTATTTGTGTCTTAAGTACGACTTTGTCTTTTATAGCAGTCATAGTTCTGAAAGTGGAAAAAAGAGCCGCATTCGGGTATACAGTTGGACGTCAGCGCGGCAGGTGCAAAGAGCCCATTGCTGTCCGTTTAAACAGTCGTAACTCGCGGTGCGGTGAGTAATTTATTCCTTCTGCTGGTTCTGGAAGCCGTCATGTTTGGAACAGTTATTCTGAGGAGGCTAACCCAATGCCTGAGGCCTGCAACGTTTTAATGCTAACGAAGCGCTTTACTAATTCAATAAACTGATAGTGTGTTTGATACATCCAGTTTCATACATTCAGAGTTGTTTGTTATTATGTATAGAAGATGTTTTAAAATGTCGTTTGAAAGAGCTCTGAGAAAATGCTAAGTATCTTTTACCGATCCATTGGGGTTGTAATATTTAGTTGCAGCACTTCCTGTGATTAATACCTAATTAATGGATGGGATTCAGCCTGTGCTGTTGTTCTAATGTGCTGAAAGTTACCTGTGCTCTCTTAATGTGCATTGCCCTTGGTTATTACTGAACAGTGCGGTTTATTAAACTGATACATCTTAACCTTCACCATTTTCCTGACTCATTTCACAATAACGTCAAAGTTGCCTGCATTAGATCTCAGTTGTAGTTCACATCAAGCATGTGGGTGTGGCTTAGTGTAAAACTTTCACTATTTACTATGAAACATCAACATTAAATGACTTCCAAATGCAAGATCACAGCTGCATCATCACACTTCCTCTGTCTTTCTAGAGAACAGCCCTGAACACATTTCCATGGTCACTTGATGACTCACTGTAGCCCCGCACATTTTAAGAGGCAGTCACATGTTTTTTCTGCTGTATGTTTTACTGTTTCTATAATTTATATGGATTTCATCATGTGAATACTGACTAAAAACGATAACATGATGAACCTCTATGAATGCTGCCTGCTGACCGAACCGCATGGGGTGTAGAAATGACGAAATGCATTACTTCGCCATGTGCATATGATCGGCTCTAAATGACACGTGGATCATCGGACTGGCGCCAAATTGGATACGTATGACCTTTGTTGACCTCTAAAGAGCAAAACAGCATTTAAATGTATTTTGGCTCCACTGCGTCCCTACATTAATCCGCCAGCTATATTTCCTCGCTAAACCAATGAATCTATACCACATTTTTTTGCATCGTGAAGGATAGCCGCCGAACGCACAGATGCGTACCGCCTGGTGGACGGGCGCGGAAACTGCGCAACAACTTCTGTCTTAGCACGTGCGCAGCGTTGATGGAAACTGAGCAACAGCTTCCGCGGTGCGGGCGGAGGCGCTGAAAACTGCGTGAGAGCTTCTGTGGTGGCTGGCGTGAGGCGGCGGTTGCTCGTACCCCGTGGTGGCAATAGGCCGGAGCGGCGCTTGGCTGCGAGGGCCGTTCGAGGCTGCTTGCAGCTTTAAATTTATTATTATTTGAGGAACGGGAACAACAAATTAATAAATTTTGATGATTTGTAGAAAAATATGAGACGTGCTTGAAGGTTTTATGTCATTACAAAGTCCTGAAACATACTAACAAACTTACCCAAATTCATTATCAGTATTTCAGTTTTTTTGTTTAATGATTTCAGTGATGCATTTGAAGTCTTATTTTTCTTGCTGTGACCTGATAGCACAACGTAATTATTCTGTTAATTCCAAAAGCAGGAAGTGGGTGCACAAGCTTGGGTTCATTTTGAGGCGTTTTTTTTTAAGGATTGCTTACACCCTACTAATATTTGGACAAATCTCTTGCGTTTTACCACTGTCATTTGGCTTTTGGCTCAATTCTGTCTGTATTCTTGACTATTGTTCTTGGTGGAAATAGGTAAAGTGCACAATTTCCTGGCTTTTAAGTAAATCCGTTGTCACCAGGAATCGATGCACATCCATTCCAGAAGCACTGATGGATGTTTGGGATGATTTTCCAGCTGCAACACGGAGCTGCGCCCAGTTTTCAGTGATCTAACCCAAACTGCCCTCTTCAGATGAAGGGGGATTGGCTAAAAGACAGCGGAAGCTTCTGGGATGCCACTGTCAATGTCTAAAGTTTGAACA